AACAAAAAAAAAAAAAAAAAAAAAAACAGAAACACCAAAAAATATACAACAAAAACAACGAATATAATAAAGATAAAAACGCGACAGCAAATGTCAAAGAGTGAAAATAATCATCAATCATTTTAAGGTCAAACGGACGAGCCGTGAAGCAAGCAGGAATATATATATATACATAGATAGCTAGATAGCTATACGAATACACTGCGAGAAAGAAGTGTGCCTTGCGGCTGACAAAACTCGATTTGAGCCGAAATCAAGTTTTCAAATTCTATTAAAACTGGAATTGAATTACTCTCGTAATCAATCCATCTATTTTCACCTCTCACTCTCTCTGACAATGGGTTGAAAGAGAGAGCAAGGGATATGGCGTGTGAGGAGCGCAGCTAAGGTTTGTGGAAGTATTTGATAGATTTTGAGAGGACTTTGCGAATATATCTACCCGGCACACCCTATCAATATGATAAGAAGTCGCTAGACTTTTGCTCTCAGTGTAAAACTTTATATTTATATATTTATATATACAAATATATGTATATATAGGTAAGATGTAGCTCAGACATTGTCGACAATTTATTGATATTAATTACAATACTAATTATTGGTCTATATTTAGTGGCGTTAACATTTCGCTGCGGCCCCACGACCCCTTCAGCCCCCTCCCTCTAGCCAACAGCAACAGTCAACAGTCAGAAAGAGCGCATTTATATTTAATGACGGCTACGTGTGTGGCCGCAGCTATAAATATATAATATATATACATATATATACATATATAGTATATATAGTAAATCTATATATATTATATATCTCTCAGTTGTATATCTCACATACATAAAAGTGACAATTTAAAGAGAATTTCTATGCTACGTTTATATGTATATGAATGAATACGTACGTACGTACGTAGCTATACGGCTGTTAATACGTGTGCAAATGCATAATCAATTGGGCATTTCAGATGTTGTTTTAATGGGCAATTTGTCATGTTTGATTTACTATTATCTCGGTGTTTCGCGCCTCGCGCTCGCCTCGCCTCGCCTCGCCGATTCTCATATAATAATAATAATAATTAATAATAATTGAGCCAATGCGGCGTATGCGCAATATTGATTTTCACTAATTGGATTTGGGAGCGCGAAAAGCGACAGCAACGAATCAAAGCGTAAAGAAACAGGAAACCAAAAAATATGAAAGAAAAAAAATGGAAAAACGGAAAAATTGTGGAAAATGTAAAGTGGAAAATTCGAAATGCTTAAGTACTTAAGGCATGAAAATCAATTGCTGGCAATGAGAACTCATGTCGAATGTCAAGTACTTAAGGCGACAAACTGTGAATGGAAACTAATTAAAAAGGTAAACTTATTATTGATGAATAATTGAATATCGATTTATCGAATACTACGGGCATGTACGCATAGATATAGACATAGATATAGATATAGATATGTATGTACGTACGTATAGCCACGTGCAAGAGATAAATTATTCAAATTGTTTGCTTAACAAGCTTGGACTTTCGCTTAGGCAAAACAGTTTGAATGGGCGCGGCTTGAGATAACATAGTTATCGATCATATCAACAATTATCGATTGATAACTATATTTTAATATTATTTAATACACATCTGTATATATTCATATAAATCTAACTACAAACAGCAATATCATAATGTCAAGGAAATCGATAACATATCATAGGACTAAATAAATATATATAAATAGCTGTCGATAATGTTAATAGAAAATGTTTATCAAATATTAAAATAATTAACTTCATTTAACACAACTTGACAAAAAAAATTACGCAACTATTAAACTATCGATATACGATTAATTGTGATTGTAATCGAAAGTTTTTAGCATAAATAGCAGTAACTACAAGAGTAATTATAGGAAAACAGCGAGATGGAGTACATTCGATAACTCGGTAATATATTAGAATTTACTAAACTATCGATACTTTTTGTCGATATGTGTACTATTGAATCAAAGTAAATGTTAGACAAAATATATTCAAAAAAATACCTTGAGCATCAACACGTTCGATTCTATTCACGGTACGGACTAAAATATCGATAGTTATCGATAGCTGTGAAAGGTGTTCAATGGACTTGTAACTTAAATCGATCAAAGCTAATACTTCAAAAAGGTCTTAGTACTAAGCTATGTATATTTTTCGATAGTTATCGATAGTTGGTATCACGGCTGAATATTTGACTCATTCTCAAATGCAACCTATATACGGGAAATTAAACTGAAAGCTGGATACACTCTAGCTTGTCAGTCAATGTTTAACTATCGATAACTATCGATGATTTCATCTGAAAAATAACTCTGAATGAAAAGAAAGGAAACTGAAACTGAGTATAGATAAATGGTCCTACATCGTACATCGTTTAGCTCTAGCGATAGATTGTCCATCTCTAAGGCTCACTGGCAACTATAGAGATTAACAGGCTGAGATTTTGGGGTGTGTAACACATAACATCAAGTGCGCTATGTAGTACAGTGTACACCAAATACATAGAGACATAAATACATATATATATATTTATATATTCATATAGAACGAGAGGGAGACAGAGAGAGACAGGGTTCAGGGTGGGGATGGAGGTGTTGTTAGAGATGGGTTCTAACGCTTATTGATTCATTCAATGTTCGGATTATACATATGTGTGTGCCCTAGCAGCCATTATTTGGCTGGCATTACGATATATCTATACACATATGTATATATGCATATCTATCTAGACAGAGACAGACATAGATATAGAGATAGACATAGATAGATAGAGAGAGAGAGAGATATTGGGTGGCGATAGTACGGCACTCAATGCTCACCTGCTTGAACGGACGCATGCCGCCGTTGATCCTCAGGGAATCGGCCGCAATGCCCGCAATGCCATCCTGTGTGCTCTCCCGCAGCTGCTTCAGCGACACGTTCGGCACGGTGTGCGAATGGCCGCAGGAGCTGTGCGTGCCGCAGCAAATCGCCGTGCTGCTCGATTCCGGCTGTGAGCTTTGCCTAATTATCCGGGAGCCGTTCGTTGGCGATGAGGTAATCAAAACGGGCGGCACCTGCGGCTGTTGATAGTGATGCAGTTGCAATTGTTGCTGATGCAGCAGCAATTGTTGTTGCTGTTGCTGCTGCTGTTGCTGTTGCTGTTGTTGCTGTTGTTGTTGCTGTTGTTGCTGCTGTTGCAGCGTTGAATTTGATATGCATATGGCCATGGAGCTGCTTAGATTGATTGGCTGATAGGCACTTTTGACGCTATCTCGCGATGCGGATCTATCGATTTGTGCCCCCGTCGAGATGGGCGTGGTCGATGCACGACGACTGCAATTGCGACAGGCGCGACATCGACTCGGCGCACTCGGCGGTATGCTCGACGATAGATTCTGATATGATGATGTGCCCAGATTGGGATGGCTCGAGCCAGTGCCGCTGCCTAAATTCATAATTGATATGGTTGGTTTCTGTTGTTGTTGTTGTTGTTGTTGTTGTTGCTGTTGTTGTTCGATTGGTTGCTGCTGCTGCTGCTGTTTGGTCTGCTGCGATGTGCCAGCCACACTGGTCGTTGCCGATATTGTTGTTGTTGTTGATGTGTTCTGTGTGAGTTCTTGGTCCTCTTCGTGTACCTCAATGTCGGGCACATTGGTGGTGCATGCCGCCTGCCGGCCCAGCCCCTGTTCGATGTCCTCGAGATGGCCAATGCAGCCGCCGCGCATACTCTCCTCGGAGCCCATGCGCAGCTGCTGCGATTGCTGCGGACTGGTTAGATATGTGGAAGTGCGATCCTGACGCATCAGCGTCGGTTTGCCACCGGACGTGGAAGCCATATTGTTTGTGGTTGGTCCATTTGCCGAGCTGCTCTTCACCTGACGCAGCAGCGCGGTACGTCCGCCCCCCTTTGTGGCATTCGATACGAGCAGGGAGTCCGTCTCCTCGGAGCTAACATAGCCCGAGTTCGTATTATCGTTTAGCTTTTGAATTGACATCTGCAATGGGCAAAAAAAAAGCCATTTATCAATTGGAAATATGCATAAGAATACCCTGTAATATCAAAAATCATGATTTAAGAAGATATACCAAAGATTTATGCTCCTCATAGAATAGCTTCAATTACATTTGCAACTCTGAGCATTTTGTGTTTGACGTGTAGCTCGACTAGCGAATACCCTAGAGGCAACAGCGCAAGTTGTGTGACATGTGATTCTAGAGCACTTCAAACTGTTTTCATTATTCAAACTCTGGTTTACAGGAGCTCTAGCTGATATGCCTGAGGTCTCGACTAACAGCTACCCTGTACTTGACACAAAGATTACAAATGGATATCTATTGAGTGTTGAGAAGCTTAATAGCTGAGGACTACGAGCATCCTGTTGATATTTAGGTTACATTTTAGAACTATATATAATAAAATGAATTCACTAAAAATACCCTGTAAATAATTATTATTATATATATAGGACTTAACACTTTAAAATCTAAAGAGGCTTTAAATTCGGAGCGTTTTGATCATACTCTAAACTTTTCTTGAAGAAAACTCGACTAGCAGATACCCTGTAAACAACAAACAGATAAGAAAGTAGCCTAAGGTTCTTAACTATTATAGAAAATATTTAAATTGAGCTAGTTTGCAAAAGGCTCGACTAACAAATACCCTGTATATGTACATCAATGAGATCCTCAAACAGTATAAAATCGCAAATACCCTGTAAACAACAACAATAACAACAGTGCATGCAAATGCATGCATAATAAATATTCAAAGAAAACTAGATAATTCTTGTAAGCAATGCAATAGATAAACTCGACTAGCAAATACCCTCTTTACACTCAACTCAACTCTTTAAATACTCATTGAAATGCTCAGCTCTTTCACCCAGCACATTCTTAAGGAAGCTAAAGCTTTCTACTTAAGAACTTAGCGGTGAAAAAAAAAGCGCTGGCCAGAATTAGACAAAGCTTTCGCAAAGTTTAAGCAACAGCCAAAAGCAAAGAGATAACGGCAAACAGTTTTTAGATACGAACGCGAAGCACGTGTACAAAACTAAGCCTAGCTAGACGTACTACGTGGGTATGCAAGGGCAGTTGGTCAGAGGTGTACGTGTGTGTGTGTGTGTGTGTGGGCTTATAGGTATGTATGTTTGCCTAGCTAAGACCGCTGAGCTGGAAAACTTGATGACCGCACACCTACAGGATGGCAAACATTGAAATGCAAACATGAACTCACGCACATGAGCTTAAGCAATGTGTGTGTGTGTGTGTGTGTGTGTGTGTGCTAGGCATTTCTATATTTGATATGCAAGCTATGACGGCTTGGCTGGATTGGTTAGTCGCTTGGCTGACTGCGGCTCAAAGCCCACAAATTGACAGTTCGATGTTGTCGATGGGGCGGAAGTGGTTTAAACGGTTCAAGGGGGGTGCACGTGGTCCAGGTGGTGCAGGTGATTCAGAGGGTTGCGGCTAGCTCAGCTGGTTTTATTTATTTTATTTTCGTTTTTTTTATGTGGATGCCACGAAAAACTAATTTGAAATGGGTTTCAAGTCAATCTAACCATAAAACAAAATCAATAGTAGAACAACAGCCATCATTTTCGGCTATAATACCCTATAAAAGGCGCTTAAAGAGGCATAATTAGGCACACACATACATGTATGTATGTACGTATGTATGTATGTGTGTATGTAAATGAATACGGCCAGCTATTAAGCCATCGCACGTATAATTTTGCTGTTCACCAGCGTCGTTTAAATTTAATTATAGTTAATGTTGTTTCCTCTTTATTTATTTTATATTTTTTCGTTTTCGTTTTTTTTTCTTTTTGTAAATCGATATTTGGGAATGTGAGGCGTTTGTCGGTGAGGCACGGTAACATTTATATGTGGGTCATATTTTACTCTCTTTCATAGTAAATCGATAATTTGAACAGCTCCCAATAAAGTTAACAGGATTACAATCGATATCAAGCAATCGCTATTGGTACTATCGTAAGAGGTTTGGCGTTTAATGTACCGATAGCGCACATCTATTGCCATAATCGATAAGTATCATTTTAATGAATATGCTCATTCGCTGCAATAGTTGGATGTATCAATAAATCGATAACAAATGCATGCACAATGTTATCGATAACTGTAATAATATACAGTGCAATCGAAATATATGTAATTAATGAACAAAAACATCAGCAAATTCGATAAATGTTGTTTACTTAAACTTAATCGATAGCTACTATCGATCACTGCAATCGTTATCAATGTAATCGTAATAATAATAGCTATAATCGTTACAAATAATGTGCTATCTTAATCAATATTATCAATGGGTCTAATCGCATTCAATATGATAGATAACTGTTATGATTAATCGTGTAATCGATTACAGGAATATTGTAATCGACTGCTGTACTTCATTAAAGTGAAACAAACTCGATGGACGCCAAACTTAATGAACCTAACTAGTGAAATATATCATATATATTTTGAAATACATTTCAAATGGAGGCTATGGGGGCGGCACCTCTATAAATATATATGTATGTATGTATGTGTGTATGTGTGTGTAGCTTTAAACCTCTTTGTTTACCATTGTGCTTATTAGTGTTGCCTTGAGCAATTGTACTGTTTCGACACGGGGAATTGACTGGTGGCAGTAACGGCAATGGCGACGCCAACGGTAACGGTAGTGGCAAGGGCAACGGCAATGGCAATGGCAACAATAACAGTAGCACAATTACAGTAACAGTGACACTGAGGACATGAGTCTTGGGACATGAGCGACACGAAATAGAAAAAAGTCGAAACACCTGCGCAGACCAACCAAACCCAAGCCCAACCACACCCAGCCCCAACCCCAGCCTCTGCCCCTGCTCCAGCCACAGTCCCAGTCGCAGTCCCAGTCCCTGCCTTGCCTACGACAGTCAGTCACACGTTGGCATGGCGAGCGTGCCGCTAATAATAGTCGCCGCCCAATTGAACTCCCAAGTTCTAATTCGCTCCCAGTTGCCCGCTCCCTTGAGCTTCGCGGCGAGTCAATCCATTGTCTGACAATTGTGGCAACAAATTGGGTTAAAATTTTTTGCTAACCAACACTGGCGGCCAGTGTTGCCAGTGTGTAGCATAGTGCACCTGCATCTGGCGTTAGAGAAGAAAATTCAATTTCCCAAACTTCAATATATATAAGATATAGATATAGATATAGATATAGATATAGATATAGATATAGATATAGATA